ACGTCCGAGTCGACGATCTCGTCCAGAGGCGCCATGGCCTCTTCTCGCGATCTTTGAGGGTAATGCGACGACATTGTGGTATGTGGTTGTGAATATCTAAGTGATAAGGTAATAGGAAGTAGTAGATAGATAGCCCCCGAGAACCAAAAGCTCTGATCCCTAATCTATGACGACAAAAGGGAAAAGGGAAGAGGAAGAAATAGGAATCGGGGAAGGGGAAAGAAAACCCAGTGTTCTGATGCTCATCACAGCAAAGACAAGCTCTCTCGATGGCTTCCACACGGGGAGGGCCCAGGTATATTTATACACCTCTCCCCTCCGCCCGCCACCTCCCGATCGCAGCTCGTTCACATGGCCACGATGTGAAAAAAAGATGAAAATGGGCAAGCTACATCAACAGGCTCGGTACCTCCGTCCAGGTAGCGAGCAAGTACCATGCAACGATGTGTGAGGTTCGTGGCAGATGGAGCCCGTGGGAATAACCCAGAACAAAATAAACCCATGGCCCAGGCCCGAAGCGGCCAAGCGCATCGTACCTACATGCAAGAGGGCAGAGGCGAAAAGCTCCCGTTGGACGGCCGACCCATGATCCTTATCCAGGGCTCCATCGAAACCCATCAGAAACTCCATCGAGGCCGTCCCAATCAATGATTCAGCTCCAGCCGGCGATCCACCCGCAGGGCCAGGCGGCAGACAGGCGACAGCCCGACCCTTCATAGCCGTGATAACCGAGTGGCTCGTTGCGTCAGGTTCTGGACTGGTTGGACACCTGCCTGCTGCAGCCCCTTTAGTCCTTTCGTAGATCCGAGGCTTTTGCTGCCGGCGCACGATAAGAGATAAAGAACTCCAGATGAACCGACACCTACAAAAAAAAAAAAGGAAATACGAAAAAAAAACGTCATACTGACATAACCACGAACAACCTCCTCTTCCACCTCCCACCTCCCACCAACAACGTTCCAATCCCGCGAAGCGAAGCACCTCCAGAAAAGCAGAGAACGCCAAAATAAAAAAAAGGCCCAGCAAGGTACAAAAAAGATACAACCAGAAACCCAGGCGTCAGAACCGCCTTAGCCTCAGTGGGGATGAATTCCCCCCTCCAGCCTATCACACGCCAGCAACATAGCGAGAAATCTCCGGTCTCTACCAAAAACACACGCAAAGACCCCAAAAGTAAAACAGAAAAAAAAGGACGGACACGACAAATCGATTGGTATCACTTCTCTTGCCAAATCCCTCCCAAAGCTCAGGCCTGCGTTGGGGAGACACACCCCCTCCCCTTCCACCCTTGGCCCTGGAAAGTTGGCGATAGCTTCTTTTTGCTGTTTTTTTGGGCTTGCCCTCTGGCCCTTTTATTAGAGGCAACGCACTAAAAGGCTAAGCTTCTTTAACCGCTTGTACCTACGTACCCTGCGCCCCTCTCTAGCTGTTTCTGCACGATCGCTGGACCCAGCCAGAAACATCCTTCATCTCCACCACGGCGCCGATGTGGAGCCCGGATTCAACACGGGCTGCACCGTGGGTCCCCGGCATCGGTTCACACGCCCTCCCTGCTCGTCAGAGTCAGTCAGAGTTATTACCTAGCGCAGCTCGCACGGGAGCGCTATCAGAAAGACGCGAGGAGGCGAGCTTGTGCTTTCCCTCTGGATCCACCCGCGAGTGTCACTCCTAAACTCTCCGGGCCAAGCATCATTGTGTTGTATGAGGTAAACTTGCTATTACGTAGTTGTGTGGCAGTAGTAGGTCATCGGCTGAAGGAAACTAGTACGTACAGATGGAAGGACTGCCTCCCCCTTCCCAATAATCCGTCCCGTAGATGTGGATCTCATCTAATCTACTCTTCCCATGCAATGCTGCCCTCCCATAACACCACCACCGACCTCTGCTGCCTGACTTTGCATGGGCACCAAGTCGTCAGTCACCTCAGCTCCACGTCGACCCGAGAGATCCCATTAACCTCCTCAGCCAAGTCCACGCTGACCGTGCCACTCATCCTGTCTCCCCTCCGGCTCGTCACGTACCTGCTGATCCGTTCCGCCGGCGCACTCATCCAGTGAGACGAAGGGCCGCCGTCGAACCCAGAGGCACACTCGTCGTCGTCGTCGTGCGATGTAACCTCGCCTTCCGTGTCGGCCATCGTCACATCTCCATCTTGGTCGAGATAACGCAGGCTTCCGTCGCGCTGGACCACAGATTTGATACAGGGCTCATCCCTGCCCGTGTCCATGACCCACGTCCGGGCCCATCCTTCCGCGCTGAATGTCCATATTATCATCTCGAGCCTTGCGTCCAGGGCAATTTCCACAAGGTTGCTGCACTCTGCCACGACTTGTCCACGGATCTCCAGAGGATATACAGTGCTGTCTCTGAACGGATCACTAAAAATATCAATCTCGTGATATGTCTCTTCCACGCGCCACTGGACCCATTCAGAAGCTAATGAGTCCTCCGGGAGCCGTCTGGTCCCACCCGCCAGATGTGACTTCAGCCCAGCACGGGAGATGTCATGAAACATATCAGGTGGTATTGTGTAGAACACAATAAGTTGCTTATCCTCCACTCTCCCCCCTCTAGTGGCTCTCTTCCCGTTTCCACCCTCCCCCTCCTCCTTATTCCCATCTTGCATGAGTGAAAATGTGGCAATGATGCGAACCCCGTGCCGTACATCGGAGCCAGCAGTATAGAGTAGTGGCACTGGCGATGCTGCTCTCGGCGGAGGCGCGAACCAGACTTTGCGGAGGAGGCGCGTGACTGACCCGACTGGTGCGTCAGTTCCCATGCAGAGGTTACCAGTCCGGGGATCTGTGAACAAAACGTGGTAGCCGTCACTGAGAGGGACAGCTCGGTAATGGTCTGCACTTCTTGCCGACACCTTCCTCAGCAGGGTGTCGTGCGATGGTCCTGGCATCATTCTTCCCAGAAGATCCCTGCTGCGAATGACAGGCCGCTGCTGGTCAACGCGTGCTGTTATTGTATGCACCTCCCGGGCAGTTGGGCGCCCACGATTGGGCCCTCTTACAGACACAACCGAGGTGCTAATCACTCCGAGTGGTGGTTCATTGTACCCATGAATGTATGGGGCTGCATCGTTCATCGGGCGCCCAATACCGGCAGCAGAGCTGATGAGCCGAAGCTTCTTTGCACTGTCAATACCTCGACGATGCGGGAGGAAGTATAGGAAGTCGCTGGGTGAGGTAACGGGAAACCATCTGGACAGGTCGTGCCCCGTCAGAGCATCCACCCAATGTAGCTCGATACCAGAGGCACACCCAAAGGCAACACAGCTCCGCTGTGGGCACAATGCCACGGATCGAGGTGGGTCATCGGGGTGGCAGATGTATCTGTACACTGCCTTGGAACCATTCTCTGCCGGCAAGGGTCGTGAAGGGGGTGATATGCGGCAAATACAGTCATACCCTTCGGAAGAGCTGGTTGCGGAGCTCGACCCTGACCATGTCCTAGAATCAAAGCCTGCGGAGTGATAAAATACGCCATTGCTTCCACGAACCCCCAGCTTTTCCGCCGAAAGGTCTTGGACCACTCCAGCACGGCCTTCTAGCAGAAAGGCTATCGCATTTCTACCAGCCGATGTATCCATACTGAAGCTAATGATGGGTGCGGGACAGACGATCACGGTCACTGGCCGCAGAGAACCCAGTCTCAGCCCCTGTCGCCCAGACCCCGGGGTAGACCATCCCAAGTACTCCGGAGAGCACGTGTGGTTGAGCTCATATACATATGCTCTGTGATCAATCATGACGAGCAGGAATCGGCCGCAGAGGCTGGTAGCAAACGATATGGCGCCATGGAGCGACCTCGGAGTCGATCCAGGGATAAGCCCACTGAAATCTGTCTGACCAACTTCTACAAAGCCACTCCGAGAGATGTCCGAGAGCGTGGTTTCTCTGGAGATCCATTTGCTCATGATCCTCAGGTCCTCATCTTCGGCGGAAGACATGTCAGGCCGGGCAAGTATCCGAAGCACACTGGTCAACCAACCTCCACGCTTAAGCATTTGTACCAGCAGCCGTCGGTCGTAAGAAGCGAAGAACCAAGCTCGGCACGTGTGACGGGCGGAGTTATAATCTACAGGGCCGAGGAGTCGATAAATCTGCTGGAGGATTTCCGTAGGCACACTCATCGCAGCCGAAGGGACTAATCATCAAGTCAGACAGGGTTTCAACCTGACCACCTTTCAGAGGACAAACCTAGAAAAGGAACATCACCATCCGGATCGGATACGTAGCCGACATCAGGCATTGACACGCTCAAGCGGCGTCTCTTGGAGCCATCTCTGCCGAAGGAAGCAGTAGACATTGTAGCCATCGCTTCGCTGCTTGCCAATTCTTTCTTGACCCGCCGACGCCGAGAAGCGGCAACGCCTCTCGAGAGGAGAATTTGCCAAGACGTGGTGAGAGCAGCCTCACTGGGAGGAGGCCAGGATAAGATACTGGAATGGGAGATATAGGTATGTCATAGGGGCGGGAGCAGTGGTAAGTCTATTGGCGGATATGGATCACAAGAAGAAAAACAAATCCAATGATCCCGGGTGGTAGCTAGTGAATGTTACAAGTTAGTGTTGCCCATTCCGTTGCTTGTGCCATGACGCAACTTGAGTAGCTGCTCCATACAAACAAGCTCTTGCTCGCATCAAATGTGCTATCGCTCTTTCCATTTCATTAAATCGACATCAGGGAAGGAAGCAGGAACGCCGCCCTTCCATCTTGCACAAAGAAAAAGTACATATCGATATTATTCGCTGCAGACTAGCGGATGAAAAGGAAAGTATGGAAGGTATAAATGGTATCGCCCTGCGCCGTGCCCGATGCATAATAAGTTCACGTGACTGCTGCATGTTTCTCTCTATCACCAATATCAAAAAGAGCTGTCGGTATTCTGTCTCCAAACATTCGCCTCACCGATTCCGAGAGACGAATCTGTGCTGGGTACGATCAAAGAAGGCTGGTCTTCGTCCGTTTCCAGGCTTTCTTCTTCAATCGGTGGCGGTGGATCTTCATAGATCCAAGGTCGCTCCAATCTGTTGCATAGAAGACGGCATTAGTAAGGGTCGAAAATCCCGGAGAAAAGTACGTTGGTAACTTACGGGGTGACGAGACTTGGGTTGATAAACGCCAAATCCCGTTCCTTAACTTCATCAAGGGTGCTTCCTCGACGGAGGACACTCCTAGACGGCCGGGGAATGGTCGCCTCTTCATCACCTTCCTCGTCGTCTATCACGGCAGTCTCGTCCTCCTCTGAGACCTCTTCTGCAGATTGGATCGCCCGCAGCGCAATGTACCTCGTAAGAGGCTCGAAGCGTCGCTTGTAATAATAGCTATACCAAATTGTAAAGGGGAACAGCGGAACGATAAAGAGTGACTTGATGTATGCACTGTGGGACGCAACCTGGCCAAACATGACAGTCTCAAACACCAACAGGCCGACCATGATACGGTAGCATATCATTCTCCACGCGCCGCCAGTAGCGTGCTGTGGCTGATCCATGGCATAAAGAACCATGTACTTGAAAGTCATGTATCCGAGAGAAAAGTAAATAGTTCCCACAATGAGAATAATGAAGCCAAATTGCACAACGCTGTAGATCAGACAGAGGTTGAAAACTAACAGCGCCGTAGGCAGAAAGTATCCATATTGAAACATTGGCGGCTTCTTGAGTGCCGCATAATCTCTTGGGGTTGCCGACATGAACCTGAAGATGGGGTGAAGAAAGACGCTGCCCATTTCGAGAATGCGAAACGGCATCAGACCTATGCCCTGCAGCATGATGAAGCTAGTGTAGAAGGGCGACATCTTCTCGATGAATTGGGCAAGGGTAATGGCAATTTTACTGGTGTCCTTGAGGAAGTCTTGCAGTTCGGCAATAATTGACCAGAAATCGAGGGCAGTTGTAACAAGGGTAAAGATGAAAAAGGTGTTGAAAAAGGTGAAGAAGAAGTTTTTAGAGATGAGGGAGAGCTCAATGTCACTCTGCGAGATCATCCCTTGGCAGTTGGATAGCCAATCGTACAAGTATGGGACAGCAACGTTAAGTAACGATACCACGAGGGTAGGAACGCCCGTCTGAAGAAGCGAATGAATGATATCATGGTCGTCCAACCAAAGAGCAAACGCAGGTAGAAGACGCGAGATGGTGCACATGCTCATCAGGGACGCAAGGGAAGCAGTCGGGAAAATCCAAACCAGGGTGAGGAAGGTAATGAAAATGGTAATGGTCCAAGATTTGAGACGTCGGATTCCGCGTAGAGCATAGGTATTTCTCCACACGAGGTCTGATGGTGAGGGTGTTGCCTTAGTCAAGAGTCGGCCTGGCCGGGGATCGATCCTGGCTTGAATCACCATCTGACAAGCGGCCACAGAGTCCATCGTCACCAGAGCCATATCGGTAGGTTTGAAGTCCTTCTTCCGGACCTGTACAATTCTGCCATCCAAGCGACGCAGCTTCTCCTCATAATAATCAATCGCATCGACTTGGCGAGTTCGCATTCCGAACGGACCGTATCGAAGAGTAATCTGTGGTCGTGAACCATTATCAGGCTGATCCAAGTTGTTTTCGAGGAGTCGGCCGTTCTCTCCAGCTTCCTCATCCTCCTCATCGGGGGAAGATCCAGGGGAATCGGCACCACGACGCAGAAGGGTATGGTTTCCTTTCGAGGCAGTCTGTTGTATCTTCAAATATTTGGCCCATGAGCTTTCCAAACTTCGTAGGCAAGTATTCCTTGCGTCCATCAAATCATCAATTTCCTTCCAATCTCGGCATATCGTGACACAATCGACCCGCCCAATGTCAAGATTCTCAATCAGATCCTTGATTTCGTTTTCGTCTCTCAAGTCGGAGGGTATTCCTGTCAGACGAAAGGTTCGATCGGTTATGGTCGACTGCGTTCCCAGATATTTCTGTCTGAGCTTGACGACCCGGAACGTTTCCCAGTTGATGAAATATATGGTCAAGCCAACGAAGAAATAGGTGAAGATAACGTATGACCACCAAAATGGATGGTCTCCTTTGTCAGCCTTGACTCCATCCCCCTTGCTCAAAATCTGGAACGCAATATCGCTCTCGAGGGACATCTCTTCCGATCGATAAAAGAGATGTGTCGTATCAGACGAGTGATTGCCGAACGGGAACGTGAAATCGCGGAACTGTGAGTTGATAGGCCACATAACAGCAGTCGCAAAGAAGGCCATAATCGCAAATAGTCGGATGGCCATTTTGAAGAAGTTGAGGAACTATAGGACACACATCGCTTAGTTAGGCCACACAACTACCGTGCACGCCAGAGGCACCTACCACAAAAGCATCGAGACCAGCGGTGGCCAAAACCTGCTCCTCGCTGACCTTGTACAGCTTCGGAATCCATCCAAGGAAAGTGTTGGGCATCTCGGGGAGGAGAATATGGGGCTCGAGTCGTCGTTTACGGGCAGCATATAGCTCCGGCCATCGTGGTCGCATTATCTGTTCCATAACGAGCACAGCGTCAGTCATCTCCTGTTCACAGTCCCCATATCAGGCACGTAGGCATCCACTCACGCAGAACGCGACAAAGGCTGATACGCCGATCAGAAGAGACAGGACCAGCTGGACGATGAGATCCTTGTCTTCCGAGGGCATCACATATTCTCGGCCGTCGTCCCCGTCCTTGGGACAGTATGGTAAATTGTCGGCGCGCATTTTGCTATCATCTGGCGGCAAGGCCGTTTCGGTTCAAGACCCAGCTTCAGCGTCGATTGTTGAGAGTACTCGGTGGGATGCAGTCGCCCCGGTCAATGCGATATGACATCAAACAAAACAAGAGGACTAGCGCCGTCGCAGTGGGACGGTGGTGAGATCAGAGACGCTGCGAGGAGGTTGCAGGCAAAAATACATCTGGTGACGTACTTGGCAAAAGTCAGGCACCAAGCCGGAAGTGCAAGTTCCCGAGCCGCAGCCTCCGCCAATCACAACACGAGTCCAGGCACCACACACAGACTCACCACCCAGATATAACAAAGTTGCTGCACGATACAGAATGAGACGACCACCTCTTGTTTCCAATCGTAACGGTTTTATGCTGATTTACACCCACATGTTCCGATCTGTCTCCTGCAGCTGCCCCACCCTACTCGAAGACTGCGGCAGTGGCGCCGGCACTTGTTTGCTGAGTCAGCCATTTTTTACCCTCCAGGCAAGCGGGTGACGCTGAAATGGAGACACTCAAATCATCCTTACTACTTCTCTATTTTCAAGTCTGTGATTAGTACTGTCATATCGAGCGCTAACAATAAATAGACAAGAAGCAATACGCTAATGGTTGCAAATTCCCGTCGTTTCATACTGACGAAGTATTTCACTTGCTATGGAAAGTGTATGCCCTTCAATTCGATGTCTTAGTTTTCCTGTGACTCAGCTCTAGGGTATGTGCACCAACCTGGAAGCTACCAACTTCTAACATTCTTGATCCGAGAATTGTTCTCCAAAATCACTACATTTGCAAAGCATCATCAGTACAATCCTGAAATTACTGGCCATATTCGCTGCGACGAGTATGCTATGCTAAGCTTATACCTCCGTTTCTAATAGTCATCAGGAATTCTCATCCCAAGGGAAGCTACAGTCATTCATCCCCGCCAGCTCAGAAAACAGTAAATCACTCGAGCTCAGCCCCTCCAAGAACGACGACGGCAAGAATGGGAGACCAGAAGGCGATTGGCCCCCTGCGCGACTCGGCGTGATGGTATAAGACGCATCCCCACGACCCCGATTCCGCTGCCCCGACGTCCCAGCGTACAGGCTGTCAAACTCGGTCGGTATAAACGCATCCTGGACGTCGTGCGCGTTCATCGGACCCGGAGCAGTAGCAGCCGCAGCAGAGAAAGAATCCCCCTCATTACTGGTGTTTCCACCAGCAGCTGTTGTTGTATCAAATGACGACCCGCGCGTGGGATTCCCCGCCGGTGCGCCCTGAACGCTGCGGATGAACTGGTCAACGACGCTCGTCATCTGACCAGCCGGCTGGTAATTCTTAGACATCAAGCTGATGCTCAGCCTCAGAGACGACAGCTTCTCGATCAGAATTCTCCGCTCCTGTGCGTCGGTCTGTAGCACGACCTCGCCCATTAAGGCGGTCGCGGCTGTCCCCGCATGTTGCACGGCCGTCCCATAGACCTTCTCCAGGTCGAACCGCGTCCGGTAGTGCTCGAACATCTCTGCGATCTGCTTGGCACTCTCCGTGCAGCTGTTGCGGGAGAGGTTGGTGAAGTGGCTATTCGCCTCTTGTACCTTTTCGTTGTATCGTACAAATGGCCGGTGCAGGAGAATCATCGCCGCATGGTATTGTGTGCTTTGGACACGTTATTAGCAGGGGTGCCTCGGAGCTGTAAGTTACTTAACGGTTCACTTACTGCAAAAGATAATATGGAGCCGGCATGGTCGTATGCAGTTCTGCCGACCACTTTAGGTGTTTCGGGAGCGAGGATTGCCAATCTCGGAGCTGTTGATCGATGGCGGCTAGCTTATAGTACAGCTCGGCGTTCTTGGATGGCCTTGGCCCTCTTAGATCACACAGCTGGCTGACAATTTCCATCATCCGCAAGAGTGCCTCATATATCCTGGTGGTCGATTTCTTCTCCTGCCAAGACCGCCTACATAGAATCATCCGACTAAAGTCGAAGGACAAGCAGCTCGGTGCGACGTCCGAGGTCTTGATCGTTGTAGGTCGTCCAAGATACAAAGACCAGAGTCTTACTTTTATTAGAAACCAGCATTGTGACAACTAAAGATCGATCCAATGTCACTCACCTGTCAGTAGCCATACACGCCCACAGAACCATGTGCCGAATCTGGGTTTCGCGTTCTGGGAGGAAAAGTGAGCTGGGGTCGACATGCAGACCAGCATCAAATATCATCCTGAAGCACATCCCTGCTAATAGTTAAGAACGCCGCTACCAAAAATACAGCATTGACGCATCTTACCGGTAAAAAGCCAGCCGGTATCGTCGTTTCCACAGCAGAACTCGAGCCCTCCCAACAGCTGGAAAGCCTGTATCGACGGAATGCCGCCAGGGCGGTCGATTTCAAGCTTTGCCAGGGACTTGGCCTTCTCATGCAACGTGGATGACGCATACCCTGGGAGAGTCAAACGCCGGATATCCTCCCTTGTCTTGTCAGCATACCTGAATCCCGTTGCCAGCATCGTTAGATGGAGGAAAGTGGAATAGAACTCAACGCCGCCATGCTGTTGGTCGCGCTGGAACATATCTAAATGCACCAGATGGATGACGGTGTTGTGCTTGTCCCAGAACAGCTCCATCAGGTAGTTGTGCGTATCTGGACTCAGATCCCGGACGATCAGGACAATCGGCCAATGCGTGTTCCGGAATTGCGGATTCGGACCGGAACCCACACGAGATAATACGTTCATGTGTGTTGTCGCGCCGAAATATCGTACTCTCCCCGACGCCATATCGAAGCGGATCGCAGACGGAATAAGCTTGGATACCACCGAGGTTGCCTGTTCAGGACACGACTTCCCATCATCATTCGTGCTGGCATTTTCCACCGAAGCTAATCTCGAGGAAGAAGCCTCTGGTGATGTGTACGGCGGTGGTTCTTCCGGAGCCTGTTCGAAAGTTTCTGTCTCCAACGGCTTTGGCGTGCCCTTGGCCTCCTTCAGCTGATTTTCGAGATGGTTTATTCGCTGCATCAAAGTCGACTCTATCGCCTTGGCAGATGTACGGCTACATTTCCATGTTGTCAGTCCTGACGAAATAATCTCCTCCCTCACATGCTTAGGTGAAAAAGTCTCTACCTTTTCCGCCCATCCTTGTCGTCGTAAACGCATTCCTGATCAATGTCCCGACAACTTTGGCATTTCTTCGACTCGGGGTCTAGCACACACTAATAACCCAAATCAGCACGACCGCAAGTCGTCTCTAGCACGTCACAACCCTTACTCGAATCCGAGCTTTGCGACACTGCATGCAGGCAGCAGTAGCTCGGTGCCTATGTCTGGCCGGTGTCTTGGGGTCCATCGTCCAGCATCTACCCAGACACCTGTTCCTTGCAGCAAGAACGACCCAGGTCTGTGAATCGGAGGCAGATGTTATCCCGGGGTAGATGTTTTGTAACGGGCGCATTCAGATTGGGTGGCATAGTTCACGGGGAGTCTGCGCTCGAGTCACCTCCCATCCTGGTAATATCACCCCGTAGGTTAACTAGATCTAATCATGTCCACCTTGTCTCCTCATTCGTAGGTTCAACTTTGCCGGATAGCTTCTCCGTAGAGCTCCATCACCCCGCCCTCATGTGCCCTGGCATTATTACATAACTACCCCAGACTTTGCTGGAATGCGGAGAACGTTGATCAAGATCCCAACGTAATGCGACTGCAGTCACACCTCACTATCACCCAAGAAGCATAGCCAGAAGGGCATGTGATTAAAATTCAACAAACCTCAATAGCTCGTTCCATCTTGAATTTCCAATCACCGTGTCGGTGCCAAGAACAAGAATCCAAGCGAGGCTCAATGGTGCAGGATACCTTGGTGATGCCTACTCAAGTGGGTGACATTGAAATTGAGACACTCAAACATTAAGCTGCTTATTTTCAAACCTGCAAGCGGTATTGTTACATTATTGAGTACTAATAATACATACTTAAGAGATAATACAGCATATATTGTCACTTTACTTCTTTTTCTACTACTCAATTTCTCTATTCATCACGGAAAGTACCTGGTTTACAATGACTTTTGCATTAGGTGTCTCATTTCTCCCGTCACCCACTTGCCACTATAGGTTAGGCGGCGCCAAACTGAAGATCGGCAAGACTAGCACCTCCCCCACCACGGATATGGATTTCCACAAAGACAACAACGTCCCTCGATCTATGTAGCACGTCTGCCAAGGGTCGCTAGTGAATGCGGCTTCCTTCCCTATCGAGGAAAAAAGCCAATATTTGGCTCGCTGGCGGAGCACACCCCGGACAGATACGCCCTTCGCTATCTTGGCCAGTCTCCCTGCTTTGCGCCCGCCTTGGCCCGCCTCGAGCTGTGCTGCTAACAATTTCCGGATACCAGAGCGTGCTTACTGCGCGCGCATGCAGGGGTTCAGATCACACAAAGTTTGTAGACTGTGACCACCTTTGGAAGGTGTCAGCCTCTATCTCTGTACTTCGTGGGCGCCCTCCAGCTCTCCATGGCTGCTGGGTCCGGACCGGTTCTTGTGGCTCGTGGAACTGGAAATTCCTCCAAAGCGATGATTGCGTGACTCATCGCCTTCCATCAACAGGCGGCCGTTATGGTTCCTCAAGATATAGAAGTCCATTTGTGATGCTGACAGTCGGTGAACGCTTGATTGTCATACACCTAAGAGAGCAGGAGCTTAGCTTCCGTGGACGACTCAACATGCAAGTCGTAACGAGTCTCTTTGTGCCACGCATAGTAGTGCCACTACCAACAATAGAAGGGCGCAGGAAAATCCCAATACGTCGTCATTTGTTGGATCGGAAAAAGGTGTGGACGTATGCGTGAAGAGATGCCGCTCAGCTCTTGATTTTTGGTGCACCATGACAGCCGGCCGAACAAGGCAATGCCTCGTTTCGAGCATCAAACAACATTCGGAAAGGCCGATGAATGGCATGTAAATGTCGGACTGGGAGGTAAACCATAGATCCCCCTACGGACAGATAAAAATCTCATTGGAGACACAATGCACTACATGAAGCATCGGATCCAGGCACTGAGCAAGCCCTGGTCCTTGCAACCCTAGCTCAAACTCTCGCGCAGCTCATCGGACTGGCTCACCCAGCGCTGGCTGTCGATATGTATCAGAATTTGTGATTTCGTCTCGATCGTGGGCCTGCTGGTGTGTTGCCGCTCACAGATGAAGTCGATAACGCCGATGCACCGGTGGCTGGACCGGTGGCCTATTGAACGTTGGTGTCATCTGTTCAGGAGGGGAGGGGGGCTTGATTGGCGTTATTGATAGCCCACTTCATATTGTTTTCCTTCGCCGGGACAAACAAGGGGCCGGCCAAAGAGAAGACGCAATTGACGAGGTTTAGGCACCGTCACACTGGTGAGATTCGATCGTCACTTGTAGCTCGTGGGGTCCCTTTTGCTGCAACCGGAGTGTAGGGCAACCAGAGTCGGACCACTTTCGGGCCTTCTCCGAACAGCTAAAACCCTGAAAGGCCGGAGCCTTGCCTTGCTGAGAGTCTCACCCGATGCCTACAGCTCCTGTCAAACAGTGTCTCATCCGGGTAGGCGCAACGTTATTATTCTACAACAGGTGCATTTTCTGATTCAGATACCGGTCAAATTCAAAGAAAAACCGGAAAATACGGTAGCCGATCAGCCCAGTTTAGGAAATATTGGTATAAATAATCCCATGTGGTAGCCATCATGTCGGGTGTATCGATTGGCTGTTGTTGTCCGTTGCTATTCGATCGCTGTTATGTCCCGTCAGGATAGGTCAAACTGCCAATAAGGTGCTGGAAAGTGAAACCTCAATCCTTGTAGCCTTATCCTGTTTGGGCTACAGATATGCTCAGGTACATATGGGATCATCAGCAGGTAGCGGATTAGACCTGGGCACGGCACTGTCAGCTGATGCATGGTAGACACAACCTGACACGAGCGATGCTTCCTCATTTCCGCCCCCATCTTCCCTTTCGGCCGGCTCGCAAGGCATCCCCATAGGGAGAAGAATGTTAGGTGATTTCGGACAACACAAAGTGGTGTCTGATACAGGAATTTGTGTCTGGTAGCTTGGGACTGAAGTTCGTGACTGCTTACTATTGATCCAGGTTTGTGCTGCGGGATGAACTTAGCATGGGGTAGATGGGCTGTCGAATATAACGTCGAACATCCACCCTGCATGCTCTTGTGTAATATAATGACGTATGACAAGGGTCAGTTCCGTAAATTTACGTGCTGCCCCCAGCCTGACCCATATATGAGAGTTGAAAAAAGTTCCTGTAAAACCTGTGTTCAGAAGCCATTTTGAGGTAGAATGGCTAGGAACATGATATGTGCAATGAGTGTATCACAATTTGAATGCAACTAGTCGAGTCATGAAAATCTGGCGGCTAGGTAAAAGTTTATGCACGCCTGAGATGAGGACCTGACTGAACTCGTGCTGTGATCAGTGCCAGAATGCCCTCACTTTCAGAGCACATTTGCACCGCCCATCACCAACTTTATCCGGGTAACATAAAGTCGGCTGTGCTGAATGTTATTCTCCGCTTATTAGTTGCATTCGGCGATGGGCTAACGTTAAGACCAAGAATTAGAAAGACTTGAAGAAGAATAGGGGGCTTTGATGAAGGTAAAGCAAGCCAATGTGTATTAATTTGGGTAGCGATTTGCCCGCTTCTGCGTTGAGGAAAGCTGACAATAAAAAAACTGTAATCTTGTTGGCGATAAAGCTTTGGGGCCTAACAACCATTGTTGGTGGGACTTTGTCCAATTGAATGTTGAAATTGGGCGATTTAGCGAGGAGGCTGATCTCATGTGGGTGATCCAGCATCTAACCGCCGTGGGATCCAATGACAGAACCTCGCACTTGCCGGCCGCCTTGAGTAGGTAGGTAATACAACATATGTAGCTTGATTTGTGGAAGGGCCTAGACGGCGATGCAGGGGGAGCGGTAGGGAATGACAGCCAAGGTCTGTTGGTAGGACTGTAACGGGAACGCGATGGGGAAAATGGCGTATGAGTGAGTTTCCAGAGTTCTCCTGCAGCCTTCGAGCTGGATATTCGGAGGCCGATGATAATCGCCGATGCACCGCGCGCATTTTACCGGACATGGTATGGATATTAGCCACCCCTTTGGCCAACGGTTTTTTCCGGTGGCTTAAGAAAATGCAAATATACACCCTATCACGTAGACTGAGCCAGCCACAAACATCGGGCTTGTCAATGGTAGAAGAAGACTCTGGTGCTCGTCACCTCAACGTCCCGTGCGACAACGATAGGTCTTGTGTGCCAATCTTGCCAAGGAATAGACCGACGAGGGACACTGATTGGACTTTGGTCTCATTGCCGCAATACTGCTGGGATTTTCCAATATTTCCATGTGCCTCAGGCGAAGGGTACATGCTTATGATTCTGACTGAAGCTCGTGTACGCAACAATCTATGGAGAACCATGCCTCGAAACGCAGAGTCATCTTAAAAGAATTAAGGTAATCTTTATAATCGACAATTGCATTCTGAAGAGCTCGAGATACAGAAACGGCTCTGAAGTGTCTGATACAATATGGCTAGTAGTGGACGCGGAAGACTGATATAGTGGCGGGATGAATGAGCGGCTGAACAAAGCCAACGGAGACACTTCTCCCTGTATGCCTGCTTATGGTCTTGGAGCACGACATGAGCGATATTTCATGCCCTCTATATGCCAAGATAGTCGATCATATCTGTGAAGTTGACAAGGAGGAGTAGAGTTGTGTCTCAAATGTCTAGGTGACTGTGTAGGGACTAGTAAGCCGGATAATCGAGCGTTGGCTGCATAAGACTTCCCAGTACCTAGTTTGACACTTGGTTGGTACATTTGATGCTGCTAAGCATATGTTTTGAGCATGAATATTTGATATATATTAGATGAACAATCATCACGTATCTCGCTGGTGCCGAAGAAGATATTCTTCTTGAGAATTTGTCTATTCTTGAGTCGGGAAGCCGGACGACCGCAGGACCATATCGTAACTTGTAGGAAGCCGTTGGGTTGGTACGCTCGTCTCTGCACAAGTGGTCAACAGCCATCTGGGCAGCACAACACCGGAGGCGCTCGTCTGGCCAATACACATTCTTCGGGACTTAGTGGGAAAGATTAGATACACCCCAGCCATTTCTCAATGGGGAAAGTTGGTGAGGGTGTGTGCTATGTGCTCTCACAAAAAGCCGCCAAGCTCTGGATTGACGATCGATATGCAACAAGCGAAGCAAACTGAACTGGTCAATAGGAATACCCGATGTAATCTCCCAAGCAGAGATCTCATTCGCTCAGCGGCGATCAACAACAATAGAATTCTGATCAATTACCGAAGTTGTGGTAACACTGCGCTTTCGATTTCCTCTCTGATCGGTTCGCGGAACGGCCCAGCAGAATATAAAAGGGCAGGCATTTCTCCGATGAATTGTTCCTCGAGAATATGTTCAACCATCTAGATAGACATAGACAAAAGCAGCAACAATCGGTCTTAGATACTTCCTCACTCCGAACGACTCGCAGAACACTCCGGCAATGGCAAACAAACCTTCCGGTAAGTCGTGATCCGAGTGGTTCATTGCGAAAAAGTGCAGTGACTGAACACTACAAAGGTACCGACAAGGGCACTTTGGCTAGCCTTGATGAGGCCAGCCAGAACCCACCAACGGGCTCAGTTGCCATAAACCGTTTCCAAGCAGAGGGTATTGACGAAAGCCCATGGAACCCGGTGCGTGTTGTTATGGCATCGGAGTTGTCCAAGGCCGATGATGCGAAGACAACAAATAAGACGGCAACAAAGTGTGCTGATGGCTCAACTGCGGCCACCCAAGGGTCGGCTCCCAAGTCTTGAGAGAGATCTCCGTGTCGGTGTTGTCGTGGGGCGTGGGAGACCCTACTAGTTTCTGATAGCACCAATGCATTTTGAACTATTGTGATTTTGATTTCATATTGTGCCACGATGAAAAGTCTTGCTCGTGATTGTATCATCAGCCTCAGGTGCCAATAAATTAGATGAAAGGGCTCTGATTCTCATCAAGGGGTGTCACTTGACTGCCGTATGCCACACTTCCATATCTCAGCGGCATGACGAGAGCCTCACCGAGCCACACTTTGTGGAACTTGAGGGTATAAATCCAAAGTGGCGGAGATTGACGTTTGCGTTCATTTGGCAGACATTCCATGTCCACCTTTGATCATGCTGGGGCACGGTACTTGGCGATGGAGATTCTCGAGGAGAAGAGGGCCTAAACAAAGCTTGTTATCCACAAATTGATGGGGTTTTCCCGGCATCGACATATTCACTGGAATTTTGGAAAAGAGAGTACTAAGTCGGATACGAATGGTATTAGGATAATGTATGTTGCGTCAGTGGAAGCGGGCAAAAGAATCTAGGAGGCTCTTGGAACATTTGTTGAAGAAGCGGCAACGGCACAGTATCTTGCGCCTGAGGGAAGGACCAACTAAGCTGTGGCTCCTTCCTTACCTACGAGCGACGCCAGACAAGAGCAAATAGCGGGTCACGAAGCGCTTGACCCAATGGCTAGGCCTAACTGGATAAGGAATGATAAGGTCCCGGGATGGGATTTCCATGTGGGAAGCCCGAGATTGCGCTTATGCATATGTGAAGTGCAACATTCTTATTAAGCGTTAATCTTATTTTGTTGTTTTTTTGGGATGTACATACGGAACGGAAGGGACGGGTAAAGGGATGAACAGTGCCCTTTATCGATTGTCTTGTGCTCTTGGAATCGGTGCGCGATGAAGATGACGACACGGAGTCTGGAAAAGGAGATTGCAGTGTAGCATTATTGATCCAACCCAGATAAAAGTTATCTATGACCCAGCGCTCAAGGGTGGTGCCAGCGACTTACACATGGTAGCCAGGGGAAGCCGGTGCCGCCCTCGTGTGGCCCTTGGTGTGGCTTGGCCCCTCAAGGATGTGTGGTAAATACGAGATGCACACCAGCACTCCAAGAGGCTGAGCATAATCCGCGCGCACCGTCCTTCTGGAGTAAGAAGGCAGGCTGAGGATCTGAACGTCACGGCGGCCTCCCTCTCTCCACAGTGCGGGCTCTTTTGCAGGGGCGGCGATTTGGGCCAAGCCGCTGGGCGACAATCCCAGCTGGACAAACTGGGTACAATCTGTAGCCCAACCGGAATGCGATTAAATTTGCCTTGGCAACAATGGCAAGTACAACTTAGCGATGCTGTCAGCAGGGTACGATTGACAAGCGTAGCACTAATACTGAGTCAGTACGGTGAAGCGTCATCACGATGCACTATTCCAGAGTCTAAAGCAGCCGAGCTCGCGTTGTCCTGGCGTTGAGTTTAATCGCAGGGCCAGACTGCGTCCTCTAAACCACATATGCAAAACCGAATAATTACCCGACACCTGCACCTTATTCCTCTGGGCCTCCCCACCGTCGTCTGGCGAGGACCCCAGCCTGGTGAGGGAGGAGATAGGTGAGATACGTTACCTCCTGATACGGGCGGTTGGGCGGTACCTTCCGTGCTGCTGGCAGTGACCACTACTTCTATTTCCGGCCCAACTCTGTTCTGTCCGAGGTACCCACCGCCGCTGCAAAAACACGTGCCCCAACAAGTACCTCCTCCGACCCCACCGAGAAAAACAAGGTCTTCCATGGTGCAACAACTGCCTCACCCAAATCCCCACTTCTTTGCTCCAGGCGTAACCACGTCCATCCCATTCCAGTTTCCACGGCTGCAATCCTCTCTCCCGCATACAAACACACCCTATCCAATATTTGTCCGTGGGACGCGTCCATATCATCCCTCACCTTGTCGCAGGCAAAGGGGGAAAAAGCCCATCGTCGTCGCTCGCTTTTCCCACGCTTCTTCGCCCCCTTCGGCTTTCGATCTCATCCGGCCTCTCCGATCGCACTTGTGCCAGTAATCCTTGTCTAAGTCTGCATAGTTGACGTACGACATTTCCCAACCGCCAGCACAACGACCACGACAGCACACACCGATAATCAGCGCCCATGAGCAGCGAATTTTGATATCCTAGACTCACCACACGCTCGTTTACACGATTCCGCATAATCGCCACAGCCACGGATTGCCTCAGTTAGAGCAGACACGATGGGTGTGTACCTTCCCCGAGTATTGTGCTCTGGACCAAATCACTGACCCTTTCTCGACAGCAAACCAACAACCCATCACCACCATTCCCCCCTTTTCGGACACGGCGAAGCTCCCCTCCTGTGCCGTGGCCTGCCAGCCGCTCTGGGACGCCAATGGAAAATGTGTACCTCCCGCCGTTTCCACAGCCGATGCCTCGGTTTACATGGACTGTTTCTGCAAAGATTCTCGGGTGACAGGATTCTCGACAGCGACCACCGGTGTATGTGACAATGCCTGCGACGCCAACGGCCTGGGTTCAATTGTCACTTGGTTCCGCGGCACCTGCAGCGCCTACGGCGGCGGTTCCCAAACAACGACAACGGCTGGAGGTAATTCGGGGGGTAGCTCAGGCAGCAAGAATCGTGGGGGCGGCGGAGACTGGTAAGTGGACTCGTCGTCTCCTATCTCGGAATACATCCTAACATTTATTCTGTAGGATCTCCAACCATTGGCAATGGGTCATTATGATTGTCATTGTTGTCGTTGCCATCGTCGGTATATGGGTCGGCGCCTGCATCTGGCGCCGTCGATATATCAAGAAGAAGGATCGCCAATCGACCATCGGCCAGAAGCAATCCGGCTCAGCATCGCATCCCTCATGGGGCCCCGGATTCCCAGAGCATAGTACCTCAGCCCCTAATATCGCCGCGACACCACCAACAGACGACCCTCGTGCCAAAGGTGTCTTCATGCCCGGAGCCTTGGCCTCCGCCTTCGGTAAAGGCGGTGGTGAGGCCCAAGAGGGCAAAAAGAAGAAGTGGACTGTTAGGGAGCGTACATGATACCGCCACCAGCCCTGTCTCCTATAGCATGATGTCAGCGATTTTGTTTCTCACATTCCTTTTCCACCTGGACCTCAAAGTTAGAGTACGGCGTCGAGTTTGTTGGATCATTTATTTCTTCTATTTTTCTCTGGAGCTTCTGAACGGATATTATTTTTTACTTGGGTCGGGCGGCTGGGTATACACAAATTTGGGAACTACTGGAATTCGGATCAGAAGGTGGTCATTCCAGTTTGTCTTGTGCTTCTTTCTCTCTTATATATATTCCCTCTCTTACTTTTTTTTTTTGGATTGTTTTCGCTCTTGAAGCTGCAAGCGATTCGAATGACAAAGGGAGGGCAGGCGTTGATTAAACCAGCCGATTTCCTTCGATTGGGCTGCTACGATGGGCGTTGTTTCTTTTCCCTCCTTCCTTCCCTCTTATTTCCTCAACACGCTTGAAATTTGATGTTATTTATTGTTCACGGTTTTGGATCTAGATTTCGCGAGATGAAGAACGATTGAACACAGGCTACGGAGCTAGCTAGCTCTCAAGGTGGAATATCCTCATTGTGCATTTATTATCCCGTCCTCTACATATACATGTATTTGTGTCCTCCTTTCCTATGGGATAGTTTGGGAAAGTGAGATGGGCGCCCTCTTAATTAGCCTACCTGGAGAAACAATAATACGAGAATATAAGCTGGATGATGTCAAAAAAATTCTCACGTTTCATCTGATCTCAACGTTGCGGGTAACTAGACCTAGTCTCTCGGGAGAGATGGGGAGCAAGGGTAAGGGGAGGGGTCGAACTTGACACATTATCTACAACAGGAGTACTTGTGAGGCAATTCTGAAACATGAACGGTCGCCTTGGTAATTTTGGATATGTTGTATATGGGTAATCACGTTATGTATGCACCTATGAGCTGTCGCATCATTATTTAATCCCTCTTCACCTCCTGCTCTTCCGCAGCATCCATATACAGGTCGATAAGACAGCCTGCGGACCAAGCCTGCGTTGGGCTCTGTGAAATCGATTGTGTTAGTAGACTTGTAAGACATGGCTTGAGACACTTCGTTAATGAAGCTTGGGAGGGGGGCGAGACTTACTGAATCTGGGCAAGGCTCATTGTTCTTCTGTGTTAGTTCAACTAATCCGGCCCAGACATTTTCCTTGATCATTTTCTTGCACCCAGCTAGGCGTCGCGTCACTTGTTGGAATGCTTCTGTTCTGTCCTCCCTCGTTGCCCGTCTCTTCAGATCGAATTTTAGGAGTGCTCTCAGGAAAAAACCGGTAGGCCACAACCACTCAGGCCCTTGATGGTAATTGCGCCCCTTGCTTGTCGCAAAGTCCTCGCTGTCCTCGCTATTCCGGTAATAGGGTCTGTAGTTCAGGTCGGCAGGGTCAAGAGTGGCCATTCCAGTTGGCCCTCGCAGCACTTTGTCGGCCAAGCAGAGTGCGTGGAGTGCATGCTTGTCATCGAATAGGTCTGGTGCGACCGTCATGGCGATGGGGAAATTGGCACGAAGCTGGTAGTCTTCGAATTCCTTGCCCGACTTGTACAAGTCTTTGTAGATACCCCTGCGGTTGACGATGGCACTGTTCACATCATAGTTCGCATCTTCATCCGCTGACTCGGGGACGTAATAGCACTTCTCAAAATTATCCTTGATTCGGCCTGCCCATTCGTCAAAGGTCACAGGCGTACCGTCGGCCTTTTTGACCGATTCATATGGATATTTGCCAGCCTTGTGTAGCTTTGCCAACCAGACCAAGGTGCTGTAAAGGAGACCGGTGATTTCGATAGCGGCACCGTCACGCGGGGTTCCTGGAACTCCCTTGGAACCAGCTTTCTCACTCTCACCCATCTTGTCCATCCAGGTTCCACAATTGGATTGATTGCCACCAAAGATGAGACCCGTATTCCAGTCCACCTTTATG